AATGTTTCCGGGACTGATGGGGCTCCCGGCTGAAGCGCGCTCCATCAGCAGCCCGTGGTCCGCCCGGCAGAGCAGCTCCTCGTCCCGCAGAGAGAACTCATCTCCCGGGAGCAGATGCCTGCTGCACACCGAGCATCTGAAACACTCCATGTGATAGACGTTATCCCGCGCCCTCATCACCAGGTCACTGCTGCAGAAACCGGTGTTACATTTGGCGCATTTGATCCCGAATAACCTGCAGTTTCCAGAAGAAACATTTGCTTATTTTAGTGCTCGTTTCCAAAATCGTTCAGCCAAACCTCAGCTTGATTTTACAAGGCAGAGAAACACGGACCGTAAAGACAAACGACAGGCCTAACTCTTTTCTTAAAACATCTATACAATGCATTATAAAAGCAATATTATAATAGCCTACATGCATTTATTCTTTCATGATTATTTGTAAGCACAGTTACGCATTTATTTCTGGGCGCAAAAGAGTTTAAAGAGAATACATTCTAACACTGAGTGTTTAATACATTATAGCCTTTACAAATATATACGTTAGTGTATTAGGCTATATCTGAGGTTGCATATATTTATTAGAGCATGCAGTTGATTGCATATGATGTGTATTAGACACAATGAACACATTATAATGCATCACCAAGAATACCCTTACAGGCTTTACAGAAACTCTTACCAACGGAATTACATTTCTTGAAAACAAAGCTGAACAAACACGGTACCTACTAAAAAACAAGCATGGCAAGCCTAAATCAAACATGACTGCAATATTAACCAAATAGGCTGCTCCATGAAATATTTACATGCAATTGGAATTTTGCTGAAAAAAAACAATTTCCGCTAGATATCTTAGCTTTTTTTTTTTATATATATATATAAAGTATATTATATATTATAGTATAGACCTAATGTAATAGCTAGCTAATATAATTGTAATCTATATTTTTACCTTCGCAGAAAGGCTTTTTATTCGTTAGTCCATGGTGAAAACTCTATTGCAGAGTTTCCCCATATCTCTAGATCTGTTTGGGTCAAGAATCTGTGAAAAAAGGGGCCTCGACGGAATTCCAAAGCTGTGAAATCACAAATATAGAGTGGCTCGTACCGTACGTAATCTCTCTTGCAATAAGTCTTGCCGTCTCGGACGAAGCAAGTGCACGTCTCGTCCAGGTACTGACTGCATTCTGCGCACTTCAGACAGGCTGCGTGCCACTCCAGGTCCGGGGACACTCGCAGGATGTACTGATCATGGATCTGACTTCCACAGCCTACACACATGGCGATTCCAGACTTCTCTGGATGTGGAAAGCAGGGATTAGTGTCCACCGACTGCACCCCTATTCAGTCCCGCAAAACACCGGCGTCGTGTAAATATATCATTATAGGCTACATTAGAGCTCATGTTTCACGCATGCATCCTTGTTTTGAATGTCGCTAGACCACAAAATGTCGATTCCTTCAGTTTTATTTCATTATAATAGTTCGTGTTTTTGGCTGCACCAAAAACAGTTTGCAAACATGTCGTGCTTTTTTTTTTTTTTAGGAGAAAAATAATAAATGTTATTAATGCAATACAAGCTTTTGACAATGTTAAATGTCATTATTGTTTGCAAAACGGTGTAAAGTAGCCAGAAACTAATTTTGCATAAACGATATTCAAACTTCTTGTTCAATGACGAAAAACTTGTAAAATAAACATCCAGCACTTACTTTTTGAATGATCCCCCATATCACCCAAGAAAGAAGGATGGGGTAGAATATCCACCATACAGGAGGGTTAAGGCAGAAGGCTCCAGATGAGGAAATGGAATGGGAAACTGCCTCGTCCCGAGCTGACTAGCAACTTCTGGCCGAAGAACCTGTGAAGAGCAGCACACAGACACGGGCTCTGACGTCACCGGGCCCTGACGTCACATGCAAACCTGGACGCTCGCTCGCTCCCGCGAAAATCAGCAGCCCGGCGCGGAGATCCGACCGCGCGAGATGCTTTGAATATTGGATACCGAGGAACTGAAGATTAAACTCACACTTCTGCTTGTCCAAACATAACTGTGAGACAGTACGGAGGGCTACAGTGAACAGGCAAACACGAAAAGTAGTGTTTTAAGTTTAGTTTTAAGAACAAGGTGTGCATTTACTGCATTGAACGTTATGAACGAACATATTAACGTTAAAGCCTTTTATTATAAAACGGAGAGTTCCGGTCCTTGATTCTGATTGGCTGAGCCACGTTCGAAGCCGTTGTAAATTACTCTACTAACATACAGATTTGTTTACGTTTGTGTGTTGCTGGGCAACCACTTTGTTGCAACCACAACTGATTCTGAGGAACTGCATTGTTTGGTGGAAGAATACTGTTTTTATTAATATCATTACACTTTATTTGCTCTGTTTTATTTTGTGAAACTTTACTACGTATAAGGACTAACCGTTTTATAAAAGCAATAAGCCCCGTGAAGCCGTGGTTTACATTGAATTTATAACATCTAAGGGGCGTTGTAAAACCACGGCTTCTTGGGGCTTAATGCTTTATTTTACACGTAGGCTAAGTGAAATGTTCTGCGGGTTTAAACTGCATTTGATTAAAGTAGCCTGGCCTATAACATAATCAATAACTATTTTATACACAGGCTAAGTGACGTGTATATATACATATACACACACACACACACTAGTCAACATTTAAAGTGGATCCAAACCTTTCATCAAAGTTTACATTTACATTTAGTCATTTAGCAGAAGCTTTTATCCAAAGCGACTTACAAATGAGGACAATAAAAGCAGTCAAAACTAACAAAAGAGCAACAATATATAAGTGCAAATGACAAGTCTCGGTTAGCCTCACACAGTACACGGAGCAAGGTGTATATTATAAGGTGTATATGTGTGTGTATAATATATACAGTGTATATATAACATATATATATTATACACACACACACACACACACACACACAAAGAAAAACAAGTAGATAGAATAGAAAAAATAGAAAGCTAGTGTTTTTTTGTTAGTTTTTTTTTTGTCCTAAAACCTATAAAACCAAAATGCGTTCTTGTCTTAGGACAAATTTGATGAACTTTTTTGATCAACTTCAAGTGTTGACTACTGTATATATATATTAACAGGCCTATTCTCTAAAATTAGCACTTTCTCAAAACAAAGGAACACATAGGCTATGTTTGGTCTTCGTTGCTTTTCCCTAAATCCATATGAATTTAAGTCCATGTGTTCTAGTGAGCCCCCTACTGGACATCAAAATAACATCACATATTGTTTGATATGTCAAATATGTAATACAGTTCATAACTAGTTACATTTTTGCCATTCCAAGCCTTTGGAGTCTAAAAAAAGGGAATAATTCAGGTAGAAAATAATTTACTAAATATGTGATATTTAATAACATTGCTAAATTACAGCAGTGCATATTAGAAAGAAAAAACATGGCTTGGAGTAAGCTGGCTATTAAGGAATTTCGACAGTTTAATTTGACTGCGAATAAAACGTGTTTCAAATCCATTTAATCTATTGCTTCTTAATTATCAAAATTACCATAATTGACCTACATGAAATCTGTGCATTCTTCGCCTATATTTAATCGTTTCTGCTTCTATTGAAAATGTCAGAAGTGATTCAGAGCACACATTTGCTTATAACCGGTAATAATAACGATAGGCACCTTGAATTAAACTCTGCAGTTATTGCGAATAATTCGTGCTTCTCTCTTAAACTTAAATCTTTTTACTCTGTCCCTTTGTCAAATTTGTATAGGCTAGCCTACTTCAATATAGATAAACACTTCTTCTCCAGCATGTTTAATGTGGATTAAAGTAGGCTACGCCAGTATTTTAAAAGCGACCATAATGAATAATTTCGTTTATTGTAGCCTGAAAATGAATCGGACAATCATGTTGAAAGTCGTGTTGTTGCGAATCCACTGACTCTCACTAAGTGACCGCGTGTCGAACCTCACCTTTGACTTTGACCTCTAACCTAGCAAAGAAATAGGATGCATTTAATTTAGGCTGTACTAAGTAACCATGATGTCTCCATGAGGGGGTCGAAAAGAGACGTCTGTGAGATTGCATGTACAGAACACAATATTAGCGTTTTAATTTGCTTTAATCGTAGTTGAAACATTTAGTCGTGTCGGCTATTTGTACATAGAATGAGTTAATAGCCCTAAAAATGGTCAGAAATAGCAAGCTATTTTTTTAAAAAGCGTGTATAACACATTTATGATTTTAGCCTGTATAATTTTTTTTATTCTATGGTTTTATCGAACAGCTTATCTCGAACGTTAAATGCTTATTTTAATAACTACATGCAAAAAAGTCATAAATAAACAATAGCCTAATCATGTTTCCCTTTTGTCTTCAACTTTTGTTTTTCTTTTTAATGACTTTATTTTGCACGTGAATGCAAAGCAACATCTAATCAGTCTATCAAATCAATAAATTACATAGGCTAAAAGTAGTAAATAAAACAAACAAAAAGGACGTTAATAAAAATCATACCCCGAAAAGCACTGAAAAAAGCTCATATTCATTCCAAAATGCATTAGGCTATTTTGCTTAATACAGAAAATAAGCGGGTGGTGCTGCTGTTTCTGAGGATTAGCCACTGCCTATAATATAAAATAATAAATAAAGTCATAAAAATGTAACCATGGATCCAGTGGACCCTGTTACGTTTACAGTCTCCGTGTAAAAGCCAGCTCTTCTTGAACTAGAAGCTCCACAGATTATCAAAGCGATTAAACCACACCCCCTAATTAAATATCCAACCAGTCTCCGCCCACTCTGCTATTAGACAGTTATATTAGTTAATTCGAATTCTGCTAACATTTTATTGCTTATTCGTTTCCTTAAACATATATTTTTGACTATACGCACATATCCTGAGGAACATTACCACCAAGAAAACCACATTTGAGCCGTTACAAAATGACTTATACATACATAAGAGGGGGCGTGTCTTTTATGATCTCGCGAGAACTCAACTCGACCTCTATCCCCTGTTACTAGTGTGGTTTTTGACAGTGTGCTGCTGCAATCATGCTCAAAGCAATAAACGAGACACATCTCAGGCAGTTGGTAAGACAAATCCGTCGAAACGATGCATTAACCACTGCGCACTTTCTTTTAAAGTTGTCACTCGTTCTCTCTACCCTTTCTAGACAGAAATATACTTGAACGAATAGCTTAGCATGCTGGCTAACTCGCTCATTCAGTTCTGCAGATGTTGTGCAATATGTTACTAAACTGCTGTTCCTTTCCATAGAATCTTGTTTTATTGTGTTGTTTTTGAAGTGTGATCATTAAAGCGCAATGTCAAATGTTTGGTTACCTTGCTAACCTATTTTTAATGGTTATATAGTATGCTAGCTAGGCGTCTAAACGTTAAGAATCATATATTCTCATAGCTTTTTATAGTTCTGAACGGAAATATTGACCTTTTGAACAATATTTCAATATTGAATGAACATGACATATTGTTCATAACACTTTTAGGCACAGGTATATGATTAGTTAATAAACAGAGCTGGCTAACAACTATCTGTCAGGGTTATGCAATATGTAAACAGTGCATTATGAAACCTCTTCACTGTCCTTAAGTAACTGTTTGACCTACAATGCATTTAAAATGTGACCTACATTGTCAGACCCCAAAGTAGTATCAGATCTCTGTTATGTCTCAGATTTCTGATGACCTCTGTGGGCTACAGAACAATGTCTGTCTGCACTGCATTAAATAGTCTCCCTTATATCAGTTATTTGGGTGAAAGTCCCTGCCAGATATTTATATCTTACTGTATCAGATTCGGTAGTTAACCAAACCTGTTTTTTCTTTCCAGACTGGTCTGATTCAGAGGTTTCAGAGTACTCTGGTAGTTGCCGAGCACAATAATGAGACGCTGACCCCCATCACCCTGAACGCCATCACTGCTGCTACGAAACTCGGCAGTGATGTGTCCTGTTTGGTTGCTGGAACAAACTGTGCAAAGGTATTATCTGTTCATGCACATTGAAGTTTAAAAGAGTGATTTCAAGGGTATGATTATGGGTTTCTGGACAGGTTGCGGAGCAGTTGTCCAATGTTCAAGGGGTGAAGAAAGTTCTGGTAGCCCAGCATGAAGCCTACAAAGGTTTATTGCCAGGTAAACCCAACTTAATTTGGTTTTGTTTATAAATGTGGAAAGTATTTGATTGTTGTACTGTTCTTTATGGAAGATTTACAGAAGTAACTTTGCATAAAGCGTCTGACAGGTGAGGGAAGGAGGTATTGAGTGATTTAAATGAAAGACTTTCTTTCACAGAGGAGCTGACGCCTCTCATCTTGGCAACCCAGAAACAGTTCAGCTTCACACACATCTGTGCGGGAGCATCTGCTTTCGGAAAGGTAAACCCAAGCCTGAAAGGGTGACATTTTCAGTGTTTGCCCTGCCATTATATTAGGGGGGCGGCCCGCCCCCCCAACGGCACCCCTGAAGGTCAAGTTAATTTTATTTAATTTTATTTTCTCTATAGCGCCAGATCACACACACACAAGTGAGCGCACTCCCACTAGTATTTGTAAATATTAAGCCGCAAAACGACTATTTAAATATGAATTCTGCGTGTCTCTGTGTTAATGAATAGCGCAGATGTGCGGTTTTGTTTACCACTGGTACTGAAGGCGCTTGACGCTTGCGGTGATTTTAGCATCTGCTGCCTCACTAAATGAGGACATAAATACTTGAACAGCATCTCCAGAACTGCTCTGAGAGTCACTTCATGAGCATTTGACCGTTTCATTTGAGTAAAACTATCATCATATCATACACGCACAGAAATGTAAAGGTATTCACGGCAACCCGTCAAAATAAAAGTTCGGTTTAACTTGAGGGCATTGCGGCAGAAATATATTACTGTTGTTCATTAGAATGTACGTAACAGGCTGCTACTACTACTACTAAAATTATTAAAACCTTATTTTTAAGGAATAATCATACAATATTTCTTCAGTGTTTTAATTGTAATATTAAATTACCTTTATTTTCCAAAAAATAAAATTTGTTTAATTTTCATTACTTAAAAGATTGATTAAATGAATGTTTTATGCCTTAAAAATGTAAATGCACAACACAGAATTTCTGAGCAAAAATCATAAGGCTATTGTAAGAAATAAATGAAACTTGTTTTTATGCTTTTAAATAATTAGACATGCTAAAACAGAATTAACAATAAAACATAATATTGTTAATTCTGTTAACAATATTATGCCGTAAACCTAGGGGAATCACTGCATATTGTTGTCTTTATTATTGAGCAAGATTTTACCAGAAAAGATTTTAGATTTCTTTTATCGTATGTTATTTAAAAAGAAATCTTCTATTGTATTTTTGTTTTTGCTTGTTTTTGCTTGTTTTGTTGTCCTGGGACAGATCCTGTGTCTTTTGCACACCATGGTAAAAACAGCAATGTGGTCACTTTTTTATTTGATTGACAAACTTTTATCAGATTGAACAAACTCGATTATTCTTTTTGGATTTATTTTCCTTTTAATTTAATGTCAAACATTTATCAAGTGTTATGACTTATATTTAGATTTTTTTATGACAAACTTTTATCACTTTTAACAAAATTGACATTTTTGCCTTGATGTTTTTTTTATATGATGACAAGCTTTTATCAGATTGACCATAATTAATCAGTTTTTTTTTCTTTTTTATTTGATAAATTTGACAAGCTTTTGTTTTTATTAAGAACTTTGTACAGTTGTAAAAATGTCACTTTTTTGGCCTTGATCATTTTTGATCCTGAAGTTTTATCAGATTGAACAACAAACATTTTTTTTTTACCTTGTTGGGTTTTGTTTCTTTGGACAAATGGAAAAATTTGACATACTTTGCCTTAATGTTTTTTTTCTTTGACATATTTAGCATATTTTTGCTTTTTTTTTTTCAATTTGATGACAAACTTTTATCCCATTGAACAAAATTGACTCATATTTTGCCTTGATCATTTTTTGACATACTTATTTGCCTTGTTGGTATTTTTTTTATTTGGTGGTGAATTTTTACCAGATAACTAAATAGATTAAAACAAACAAAAAAAAAAACTAAAATCTAACTAAAAAAAATATATATATATATATTTTTGCCTTGCTTTTTTTTTTTGCCTACTAACATTAAGATCAAAATGCAAAACAGTTTTTTTTTTTTTTTGCTTTGCTCTTTTTTTTAAATTATTTGCTGAGAGTCTCTTTTTTTGTGGTCGTGTCAAATTTACATACATTTTTCCTTGATCCTTTTTTTATTTTCCACGTGTTTGCATCAATGATTAGTGTAGCTCTGCTTTGCCTAATGCAGGATTTTGTAGTTGTTCTCATTCAGAAGTTATTTGATTATTTCCCCAAAGCGAAAAGCGCAAATGGCAAATGGATTAGAAACTCTCATACTTCCGAGCCCCTATCAGGCTTCTTACTTTTGGAATAGTGGGAGAAGTCCGTCCTCAGTAAGTGCGGCTCTATTATATGCACGGTTATTTGTCATTCCACAGCCAAACTGTCAGGCAGCAGATCTAATGGTATTTAAATTGAATTGTAATACATTAAACAGTATCTTATGTAGCCTAACCCCAGACCAAAGAGATGTATTAGTCTCAATTTCCTCACTGGCTAAACATATTTTATTTGATGGATTCTTAAGTGGTGGATTTGGTTTCATTATGTCACTATATAAAACACTTGAATTACCACTATGCAATATTTTTCACCTCCAGACATAACTTAGAGCTCTTTTTCAGACTCAACGATATTTATTCCGTCTGCGATGCAGGATGGCCAAAGTTTTCAGACATGCGGTGAAACTGGCTTTTGATCAATGCCTGCCGAAATAATGCTATTTCCAAACTAATCAAATTTGACCACATCTGCAGATAAGAATGGACATGTTTCAGTGGCTCGAACTTATCCACGAGCTTCAGATACATCCGTCTGTCTTTTAATAAGGTTGTGTGTGTGCGTCTTTATTTGTAGAATCTCCTTCCAAGAGTGGCTGCCAAGTTGGATGTGGCTCCCATTTCAGATATCATTGAGATCAAATCTCCAGACACCTTTGTGAGGACCATTTACGCCGGTAAACATGCGCAAGTAGCACTTCTCAATGAAACGCTTGCTTTAAACCTGTTTGCTTTCAAATAACCTTCCTAATTCGTTCCATATCCTTCTCGTTGTTCAGCACACAGGTTGTGATTTAGGAGTCTGGCCATTGTGCACAGAGACACGCGATAACTCACGCTGACTTGAAACAAATCGTATATTTTCATTTTTAAATCTAAGGGGGACCCTGGAGCCTTTTTGTGTCCCACTTTGCATGCATTATTTTTCTGTTCATCGTTTCTCATCCATAAAATCTACTGCCATAAATACTTCCTAATTACTCCATCCACTTTATCTTCGGCTAGCACAAAGCACTTGTGTAAAAAAAAAATATTATTTACGAGATTTTTTTTTATTTAAATGTTATTTTAAATCCGATATAAACGTTTTTCATGCGAAACATCAAATGAAAAGTGGTGGTTTGCCACTTGTGGTGATCATTTATGCTCAAGGTTTCCAACCAGGGGATCCCCGAAGGTTCTGTGCATATGATTTATAATACAGTTTCTTAAATGATCTTAAAAGTATTTGAATGGACATTTTATGATGATATGTTTTTCATTGTGCAGTGTAGTAATGTGCATTAATGACCTTAATACAAGCTATTATAAAGTGAGAATCTAAGCTCCTTTTAACAAAAAATAATCAAGCTTTTTTTATATTGAGTCCACCAGTAAATATTAAAAGTTGATCTTAAATATCTTGTTTTATTTTTTAATTGAATTGAATTTTTAATTTTATATATTTAATTTTAGTATATTGTATTATACTATATATTTTGCTATTATTAACAATATTTCTTGTCATTTCTAACACCTATTTTACGTTTTTTCGTTCACAGGAAATGCCCTCAGCACAGTCAAGTGCAATGAAAGCGTCAAGGTGTTCACCGTTAGAGGCACTTCCTTTGAACCTGCGGCCGTGGATGGAGGCGGCGCATCTTCAGAGGAAGGTACCGAGTCGTTTCGTTTGATAAAGTTAAACACACTGCTGTTTGTTCATGTTTTGCTTTAAGGTCACGCTGACTTTGATACCACACACAAAGGTTTATAGTATTTAGTCTTGTATATAATCTTCCACTCCGTTGCAAGGTTTTGATGGGCTAGTTTGTTTAAACGTTGGCTTTAAAGGGATCGTAAAGGGCATTTCGGAACAACTCGGCCTGTTTATTTGGACGTCTCCTCACGAGATGTTGTTGCGTTTGCAGTCTCTCCGTCTGCCCCTGTTGGAGTCTCTGAGTGGCTGGAACAAACTCTATCCAAGAGTGACCGTCCAGAACTCACCAGTGCTAAAGTCGTGGTGTCTGGAGGTAAGAACCTCGCACTAGAACCACAATCATCCATTGGATATTACAGGAAAGTGTCCGAATATTAACTAATGCATGTTATAGAATGCATAGTTAACTCCCAAATGCTGAAGAAAAGTACAGTGTTTCAGCTACATTGAAAAACATGCTATAATAACATAACATGTTATGCAACAATATATATATATATTGCACGATTAATTTCGACACCCCTATTACTACTACATTCACTGTTATAATAACTGTTATTATGATGTAAGAATTGCTTATTGTATATTGTTTTATTACTGTCTTTTTGCCACGTATAGCTTTTGAGGCTGGTATGACTAAATAAATAAAATGATTTAAAATATAGATATCATGTAGTTTGACATTTCTATGTACTTTATTGTATTTTAATATTTTATTATAAACAGAACTTTATTGATTTATAAAAGCAATGAAGCACAAACTCTCATATTTTATTGCTTAATCAAAGAAAAATAACATCAATAAATTACAATAAACTGAAACCGCTTTCCACAGGGACTACATCATCTTTGTGTTTACGTTCATTGTTTGTTTGAGCCGTAGGTCATGATGTTGGGTCTTCCCTAGAAATTTCCAGGCATTTTTTTTCTTTGCTCAGAAAATCAATAGTAAACCGAGACGGTATCGATCCTACTGGAGTCATAACCTTGTCAGTAATTTCATATTTTATGCCCATCTGCCGTCTTTCTGTCATAACAGGGAGGGGCTTGAAGAGCGGCGAGAACTTCAAACTGCTCTACGACCTCGCCGACAAACTGAACGCAGCCGGTACGCTGTTTGTTTTGTAGATTTTTGCTCTAGGTTCAGTCTTTAGTGTTAGTTTTTAATCAAGCTATATGAATTTAAAATTAAACCACCAAAATGTTCTTGTAGTCGGTGCCTCCAGAGCCGCAGTTGATGCTGGCTATGTTCCCAACGACATGCAGGTTGGACAGACTGGAAAGATTGTGGCTCCTGTAAGTACCTCCGTCAAAAACCAGTTGTCTGATATCTCGGTGTGTCCTGCAGTCCATCATATGCACTAATTGCCTCTACAGAGATTTAAAAAAAAAAATCTCTCAAAGTTATAAAACCACCAGGTTTTTAGGCTTGATAAACCATCTCGACTTTGAATACAACAACATCTAATTGTTGTTTCTGTTTGAGTCCAGAAAAATGGATCCGTGTTGCCCTTTAAAAAGGTTAATTTTCCATTATCCGCTGTGAGTGGGACCTCCCAGCTGTCATTATCCACACATTAGCGGCGCTCTGAGGTAGTTAATGGCACATTCCGGCTTCTAAATGATTTACCAGAGCCATTAGTGGAGCCGTGCACCGCACAGGTCCACCCTGAGCTCAAACCGGGCAAATCAGCCCCAAACCCAATTCTCTAAATGTTTTGACAAGCTTGTCAAGCGCAACGTGACCGTTGTGCATTAGTATTCACCCTGAACAAGTCCCGAATGAGTTCTGCTGGCGAAGAGTCCAGTGAAATGAACTCGAGTCAAGATGGATGAGTGTTGTTTTGGGTCGATTGAATGTGCCTTTTGTGGTTAATCATAATCTTTTAGCCCTCAGGGTGTTGTTTTGATGACTGGATGTACATGATTGAGTTTTTTTGCAGAATTTTTGTGTAAAATGCACATTTAAAGATGTGCACCATGATGTTGCAAATACAACTATTTAAGTTTGACGTGGAGTAGCTTTGACTGTAGTATAATTATAATTATATATAAGTATATATACTATAGAACAACATCTGGTCCCAAACTAGCTAGTCCCTACCAGGGTTATTATAGTAAACTATATATATATATATAAAATAAAATTGTTACTCGAAATAAAATAAATGTTATAATAAAATTGTTACTAAATAATAACTAAATAAATTAAATGTTTCCAAGACAAAATATCTCTTTTTCATTTAGTTTAACTTCATGTACTAAAATAACTAAAGCTACAACCAAAATAAAATGAATAAAAATGATATGGACAAACAATTATTAAAACTTGAAGTAAAATAAAAATGAAAGCAAAAAAAAATGATTTAAAAATATTAACAAAATATTTATATAAACTATTTTATTTTAGTTTTTAGTTTGCTCTTGTAATATTGAGTTTAGTTTGTAATATTTAGGATGCCATTCAACTGAAGATTAAAAACCATCTTTCACAGATAATTTATTGAAAAAATCAAACAAAGCTGTATGGTAGGAAGGTTTCCAGGCATTCAGGCCCCTTTTGTGCCCTATTCATGTAAAGTGCCAACTTTCATAATCTCACAGATTTTTCTGCTTCTTGTGTATTGAAACATTCAGCAAAAAATACATTAGTGCAGGAGTTGATTTGATTGAAACGAGATGTTAGACAGATATTTTTGGTTTACTACTATTTTTCAGCCTTTGTTACCTCAGCGGAAAAAGTGTTTTAGAGATGGAGATGTTACATTTTGATGGGAAAATTTTAATTTGTTATGAAGTAAATGGCGAGGTGGAGGATGTCAAAGATCGTATTGGCTTTTAGACGCTTGGCAACAGTTATCTGATGACTACAAGAAATCTTCAGCAAACTTTTATCCACCACCCACTACAACCTCCTCCATCCTGTAGATCTTGAGATATTTGCAGGTCTCCATCACTTCAGGCCGTCTGAAACACCAGCCCTGCCCTCCTTCCTCTCCCACTGGCTTTTAGTGCTCCGGCCAGCTGCGTGTTCGCAAATTGAAGCGGTGGCCCCCGGGAGAGAGCCGCAGCCACATTAAACTGCACTGAAATATTAATGGAGCAGTGCATTAAGCTGAGAGCCACTGATGTACCACTCCCTCGGGACAAGGGTGGAGGCGAGGGGGAGCTCCCTGCCACATCCCCCAAGTGCTCCTCTTTTGAGTAATTGCGAGGATGTTGTGGCCTGTACTCCGGGACGGGAGGTCAGCAGAGTGCTTCCGTGCAAACGCCGAGATCCTGCCCGGTTTAGCTCAGATTTACAGCTTTAAACGTCCTTCGTTATTGTATCAATAGCAACCTGTGATGTTGCTAAATTGTCGCTTGTTGAGGGTTTTCAGTCACATTTCTGTCTAATATGCAAGCAGGAGTCTAGCTCATGATTTAATTTTAAGCACCAGGCTTGTTGCAGTTCATTTTAAGTGCTGCTAATTGAAACATGGCACACCATATTGTTGCCAGGGGCGTCAGCCAATCAGGCTTGTGCATAACATGATTCTGAAAGCATATTAAATGAGCTTCCTGTCACAAGTAATTCATAATTGGCTACTTTTGCACGTGAAGAGAGAATAATATGTTTTAATTTGTTTGTTAGGTAAATGAGAGAAATAATTTGATTTGCTTTACGGTTTATCTGTTATTAATGTTAAATTTAAAGGGGTCATATGATGCGATTTCAAGTTTTCCTTTCTCTTTGGAGTGTTACAAGCTGTTAGTGAATAGATAAGATCCCTAAAATTGCAAAGACTAGTCTCAAACCCAAAGAGATATTCTTTATAAAAGTTAAATTTTTTATTTTTTTTATGTTAAAACAAATGTTTATTTTTTTATTTAATTTTTTTGGACACTGATGTGACACCATCCCTACCTGAACTTCTTATTTTATCAATAAAAGTGTCAAAAAATAAAAATGGGCCCAATTCCTCAGGACAGGGATGAAAGCCTTTTGAAGCTCTAATTAAGGCTAAAGTAAACGTAACAAGAAATATACAATCTTCTTCCTCTAGAACACAGATCTCATTTGCACAAAAGATCCTCGTCAGGTCATCAGAGACATTTTAATCCAGTGCCTCAGACAATCAGCAGTACCGTTCAAGTGTATTATTAATAGCGTTGTAAATGTCAAATGACCCGGTATTAATTTCTTCAGCCAAACCCCATCTACAACCAAAACCAGAGCGACTCAAAAAAAGCTGTCCCATATTTCCCTTTTAAATTTTGCAGGGAGCATTATTCCACCTAATGGAGAGTGTGCAACTTCTGAATTATTGAGTTGCTGAATTAATCAGTGGCGACTCGTGGCTCCAACCAGAAGCCTTATACACAACTTCTCCTTCTTTCGGAGCAGAAAAGTAATTGATAGTCGGCACAAGTGTGCGGGTGTAGTTTTTCACCTTTATTTTCTGCCTCCTCTCACCAGAGCTTTATACGCCCGGCTGCGCACCATAGTTCAAGGTGGCACACGCGCTCACGGTGCCAGAGGGCTGCCACACACACACACACACACACAAAACACGTCCATCCGTTGTTGCTGTTTACCTTGTGTAACGCTAGCATTGTTTATTTGCCCTGTCGGTCATCTTTTATTCAGGCGGTGCGTGCTAGACACAGGTGTGCAGGTAAACTGTGTAAAAGTGATTGCTGACGATGGGCAGTGCTGGCGAGCAGGGGCGGCTCTCAGATCAGCTTACACATGATCACTCCTCAGATAACTGATTAAAATGTATGGGCTTTCTCCTCCTTCCTTAGATTGAAAAGTGAGCCGGGGACATATTGGGGTGATGATATAGTTTTTCAGGGCGCTCTGGAATACGGGAGCACCTCAGTTTTGGATGAGAAACTCGACTTATAGGAAAAGTTCAGGATGTTCTCAAATGACAACCATTGTGCCTAGGGTGCTTAAACAGTGGAGAAAAGTTTGACGGATATAAATGGGTTCTGCTTTAAGGGACCCTGTTTGCACTTGGTTTTGGTCAATCGGATCACAAGTAGATGAGGGAGACACACATTCCCATTTACACCTGGTGTTTGTCCACTTTTGACCACTTCTGTCCTGATTTCTTTGAAGGGAGGGTCTATGGGCGGGTATATATATATATATGGGTGGGTATATATATATGGGTTTTCTTTGATCTTTCAATCTAATATTATGAAATAAGCTTGCACAATTTATATGGGAATACAAAATGAGACAACAGAAAGTGGAGCCGAGCAGCAGCTTTCGTTTATGTTCTGATAGGCCCAAGACTACGCCAAACACTATGGCTTGGTTAGAATCAGGACTGCTAAGAGAATATTGTGCTCATAAACACATTTCATTACACCAAATACACCAAATACTGTTCTTTTTAGCAGCATCATATGACCCCTTTAAATGTTTAGAAAGTAATATCATTTGATTTAAATGAATATAATACACAATTATTGGCCAGAATTTATATATAGATAGATCAAATAATATTACTCTATTTTAATGGGAAAAACATGGTTAATCTACTACTGCCAGTAGTTTTCACATGCAGAGTACTGAATAGGCAGTGAAATGCAAATATGGGCTTTCATAAATGTGACATTATTTCAAAAGAGCAATAGATTGCTGATTTGTATGATATTTCCCTTTTAAAATCATTTAAATACTTTTTTGATTACTACACAGGAGCTGTACATTGCGGTTGGCATCTCTGGAGCGATCCAACATCTAGCTGGAATGAAGGATAGCAAGGTACAGTTAGTAATACATGTCAAAATACACACCCACACACTGTAGTACACTAAGAAGATATCATTTTTTGTGATAATATCTGCAATCAGAGGAAACCCCACCCATGACCAGCGGTGTCTCCAAGAGTTTCCAGAATATGCCAAGTTAACTCACTCTTAAGTGTGACGCTGTATTGGAATAGAGTGTTTTAAAAGCGATCTGGAGGAGCCTTTTACCTACATCCATAATTCATCTGCATTTTCCATTCCACATCTCTGGAATAGAGTTTCTGGTAGCACTGCTTTATCTGTCAGAGCCCATCACAACCATCTTCCTCCATATGTTGCATATAGGAGCATCATCCTCATGTTGATGAGATGTTTACAAGAATAATGTGTTAGCATTTTTTGTTACTACTGCACTTGTTCTGGGAATTGACTTTTGGGAATTATGGAGACTGTAGTCCATCAGCGCTCGACTCATAGAGGCTTTCTATTCAGTACAGCCCACCATGCTAAATAATTTATTTAATTGTTTTACAGACCATCGTGGCCATCAACAAGGACCCAGAAGCCCCCATTTTTCAGGTGGCTGACTATGGCCTAGTGGCAGATCTGTTTAAGGTAAGATTCCTAGTTGTAGCTGTGACCAAGCAATTAGCGAGTTGTGGTGCTCATGTAGGAAATGCAGGTTTGAATTAAATCCAACATAGATAGATATAGATAAATAAATAAATTATATATATAATTTATTATATGCATGTATGTATGTGTGTGTGTGTGTATATGTGTGTATATGTATATGTATATAATATATACACAGTGGTGGCCAAAATTATTAGAACACTAGTATTTTCACCAGCTAAAAAATTCATTAATGGCAAAATGATTGTTTGGAAATGTAAACTGATATTTCCTACTGATACACTACAGAAAAAGGTAGAAATAACTAAAATAAAACAATTTTTTTTAGCTGGTGAAAATCCTAGTGTTCAAATAATTTTGTTGTAGAATTATTATCGATCAGCCTATAATCATTTAGAATGAAAGTTTATATAATTTTATTATAATTGTTTTTTAAAATATATTTCTTATTGTAACATCTGATGTTTTAGAATTAAATTTTTCATGCAATTTTAATTTTATTAAATAGGCGTTGTTATAAATAGAATTAATATACCTAGTTTTTTATTTTTGATCAGCCTATAATCATTTGTAATAATAGTTTATATAGTTTTATTACGATTGTTTTCTATTATTTGTTATTGTAACATCTGATGTTTTAAAATTTTGTTTAGTTACATGAAATGTCTTGTTAACAGCCTATGTAATATTTAGTTAATTTATTTAAATGAATTGATTAAATGCAAGTATTTAACATAAAAGGATTACTTATATATATATATATATATATATACACAGTATATATATAATACCACTAAATACTAAATATACCAATACTTAAAAACACTATTAAGTATTATTAATTATTTCTAAATATTTATTTATAACAGTTTTACCTTTTATGGTACCATCAGCATATAAAACTATATGGTTTTGGTGGTGTGGTTTAAAGTTTTTCTATAGGCTTTGCTTTCACAGTGAATCACAGATAAATGGAAACTGTTACTAGGGCCGGAGTTTGGCTGGATGCTATTTGCATGTGAAATCCAGAGACTAATAATAACTCCATCCATTTCTGTTCAAGCCTTCGCCCCACGTTCAACAGCAACACGTTGTGTTTCTCCCGTCTGTGCCTGACAAACAGCCGTAATTATCATGAAGCTGCTCTGGAAATATTCCATTATTTCCGTATTAGCATATGAATAGCTTATAAAAACGTGCACGCTCTCATTATACACCTGAATGAGGGCTCTGAGCTCTTTCCCCAGCCAATCAGAGGCCATGTTAATGACATCACTTAGCACCGAATTGGATCAGAGTGTAATTGATGAACATGGTTAAATACTTTAGGGTGTTCTGACACACGGCGGGCAAGAAATTGTGAATGGAAATGAATGGAAATATACATACAGTCTGTCAGACGGAAGGATGCATCATGGATCCAGTTGCTTACAGCTGGTTTAAGATGGTCACTAGGCCGGGTTGATTAGCTAAACTATCTGGCAGACCACTATGGACCAGCAACAAATCAGCTGCTAAACCAGATTGACCAACTTAAACTGGTTTGACCCAAGAAGGCCTATAATACAAAGAGAAATCTCTCTGTTTGCATTCATACATCAAATAGCCAGTGTCAGTTTTTGCACTTAAATAATTTCCTAATGGATGAAGTCCTGTCATTTATTATAAACTGTTTCATAAAATATGTCAGAATAGAGATGTAAAATGAAGATGGCTAGATTTCTGAAATAGAAACCAGAGACATTTCCTACAGTTTAGTGGTCAAAATATTATATATATATGGGTGGGTATATATATATGGGTTTTCTTTGATCTTTCAATCTAATATTATGAAATAAGCTTGCACAATTTATATGGGAATACAAAATGAGACAACAGAAAGTGGAGCCGAGCAGCAGCTTTCGTTTATGTTCTGATAGGCCCAAGACTACGCCAAACACTATGGCTTGGTTAGAATCAGGACTGCTAAGAGAATATTGTGCTTTTTACATTTTTCGCCTTAAAAGTGAACCTACGATTTCAGATGGCAAAGCTGGCTTACATGCTTCAACGACGTGTCCCGTCGTGTTTAAGAATTCAGTCAGCAGGCAGAGAGGAGACGGTCTTTAGTGGATGTTTGAACGCATTTGCACAAGTAATCCAGTCGAATGCGTTTTAGGGCCTGTTTACACCTGGTCACTTCATGCATTTTCTTTAATAGGAATGCTGTTGATCGTGAAAAGACCAGGTGTAAATGCCCTCCGAAATGCTTTCAAAATGGATTTAAATCCGATCACTCAAACTACTAAAGGTGGTCTGGGACTCATTCCAGATGAAACTGGAGAAGTGTAAATGCATCTGGTTGATGAAACTACACTTGTAAATTTTACTCTTCGCTAAATGTTAAAATGATAAACGTGTAAGAGCTAGTTGTAGGCCAAACAACATGTTATAGACATATATGACAACGCTAATGCGACACGCATCGCCGTGGATGAGTATCTGAGTATCTCTTCAGCAAACCGATGCGCAAACTGCCGCAAATGAAACTGAAAGTAAGTCGCAGACATTCAACATGCAATCATCTTCATTAAACGTAGTAAGCCTAACATTTCTTTCCAGTGCTGATGACACGTTCTCTCCGGTTGCGGACTTTGATTTTGAAATTAGCTGAGGATGAATAAAATGCAGTGCATATCTGTTGCTTTCGTTGACGTGAATTCAAATTAAATTTGTTACATTTGCATAAAACGTGAGAATTGAAGATCGGGATTATATCCGTTTAGCGGAGACACATTTATGTTGCCAAGTTTAAATGAAACCGTTTTAACAAATCAGATAGCTATCCAATCAGAGAAAACGCATGAAGTGACCAGGTGTAAACAGGCCCATAGACCTCTGGATGTGGTCAAAAGTGGACTCGCTCAAAAAGTTTCAGATCCTGTTTACACCTGTATGTAGCTTTGTCCACTTGGCATTGGATCAAAAACGCATCTTAATACCAGGTGTAAACAGGGCCAGGGTGTTGAAAGAGTTGGGCCAGTTTATGTATCAATGTATCCATTTCTAGGTTGTACCCGAGTTGACCGAAGCCTTGAAAAAGTGATACTCCTCAGGAAGCTGGTACTCACCTGGAGAACTTCACTTGGATCCTGCCTTAAGAAGCTCAGAGTCAACGCTCCACTGATGTTCACTTCCTGAATGTGATTTTTCTCCAGAACACTGTGTACTTACAATAGCTAATGTAAACATTAAACCACTTCTTTTAATAAAAGAATTAAGTGACACAATGGCTGGAGGTTTTCTGTTTTTCAAAGTTGGGTAACATAATTGTTGTTGCAGTCTTTGGCTAATTCAGGGTTGTCCAAGTCTGCGCCTGGATACCCACTGTCCTGCTGAGTTCAGCTCCAAACCTAATTAAACGCACCTGAGCCAGCTAATAAGGATCTTCAGGATCACTAGAAACATCCAGGCTGGTGTGTTTGAGCTAAATTATGCAGGACGTTGGCCCTCCAGAAGCAGGATTGGACACCCCTGCTGTATACTGACCTCGGTGGAGTAGAGCTCGTTTATCCAGCAGTCGTAGATGGCTGTCTTATGGTGGTCTTTACATATTGTCTTCTATTTGTGGAAGTAACTTGCTGTTTGTTGTATTTTAATAAGGTAGCTGTCTGGCCCTGGATGTTCACTGAAGTGATCCAATAAACATACTTCTGCTTGTACTTGTGCTTTGGTTTTATTACTCATTCTCACATGACCATTATGCTGCATATTTTGGCATTCTGCATACTGGAAAACAGAACAAATAATATTGTATTAGCATACACATCCTTACTACTACAACAAGCCTGACACAAAAAAAATTACACTTGAAGTTTGAATTGACCAACTTTTATTTGCTTGACATTCTCTTCCATTATCAGTTTATAAAATCCCTTGTCGATAACACAGGATTAATTTGCCTCAGTCAGAAAGCAGATACGATCTTTTCAAAGGCTCATGCTATTGGGATGGGGGTTAAGGTTTAGGGTTATGACAACATTCTAACCATAATTTCTCATAAAAATCTTCTTAATACTGTATACCTGATATGTTCGCCTATCGTTTGCTCTCCGTGTTTTAAAAATACTTGAGTTTAGCACTTTTTTTCTCGCATAGAATTTGAATACAAACATCAGCATCAGTAATGTAAGAAAGGCAAAGGTAAGAAATTTGGCTGAATCACACAGCTCGACACATTTGAACACGGATCAAATGTAACCCTGCAGCGTTGGGGGAAAAGGACTGGACATTGTGTGTCAGTTACATTTCGTACAAATAAATCGACAAATTAAAAACTCCCTCCCACGCCACCCTGAATGAGAACACGTGATAAGTCTTCCAGCCACACTCCAATATTGGTCTACCGTCTAAAAGTGTGTTTTTGCTGGTTTCATACACCACTCGCCCAACAGACACTGAAATTCCTGAAGGATCTTCCAATGATGGCTCCCAAAGTACCTCTCCCTGACTCCTTGGAAGGTTGTGCAATATTGGCAGGAGTGACACAGTTCAAGTGCTCTTGCAGAGTTGGAGTGAGAGAGAGAAAGAGAAATGTGCATCTGTAAGGAGGAACGTTGCATGAGGCGGGTAGCAGAGAGCATTATCCTCATGTCACTTCCTGTGCCCCTTTCTGAGAACATGAAACCTGCGAGAGATTATCATAGTGCTGTTTGACACAGAAAGAGAAAGACAGATTGGCTGTGTCCGAAACAAGAAACTGCTGCCCAATCACTCAAAGTTTTTGGATGAAGGTACCCCTTAAGGCAGGTTCCTCAAATCTGTACCTGGAGTGCTACTGCCTTGAAGAGTTTAGCTCAAACCCTGATCAAACTCAACTACTAGTAATTTTTTAGCCTTGTGGGCAGTGCGCTGACATATAGTGCCGTTGCGCTTCAGGTGTCCCGAGTTTGAGTCCCGGCACACATACCTTTCCCGATCCTGTCCCCTCTCTCTCCCACTTGGCTTCCTGTCTTAAATACTGTCCTATCCTAATAAAAAGGCAAAAACACCAAAAATAAATCTTAAAGGGGTCATATGATGCGATTTCAAGTTTTCCTTTCTCTTTGGAGTGTTACAAGCTCTTGGTGCATAAAGAAGATCTGTAAAGTTGCAAAGACTAAAGTCTCAAATCCAAAGAGATATTCTTTATAAAATGTAAGAGTCAACCACGCCTACCAAAAAACGGCTCGTTCTAACACGCCCCCACATGTCTATGTCACTATGTGGGAAGATTTGCATAACGCCGCCCAAATGTTCAAGCAAAGAAAGAAGGCGTAACTTTTATCCTCGCTGTAGTATTGTTGTTGCCGCCGCCATGTCATGGAGACGCTGTGTGTTTCGTTGTGAAAGCGAAACTACTTTGTTTAGTCTTCCAAAAGAGGATGATATCTGCTTCGTCATGCCTAGAGCTGATCCATGCTGGTCGCTGAGGAAATACATCAACTTAGTGCTGTGGATCGCCAGAGAAAGGTGGGGCATAGAGGAGAAACAATAATGTACAGTATGTGGAAAATAATGTGTTTTTTGAACCTTAAACCGCATAAACACATTTCATTACACCAAATACACAAAATAATGTTCTTTTTAGCAACATCACATGAACCCTTTAAAAAAAGGAGTTGGAGTTAAACTCTGGAGGGAAGTGTCCCTCCATGGCCGGATTAGAGGAACCGTGCCCTAAGGTTTTAGACAGGCTTCAAAAACCCTATATCCTCAGATCTGACCGATTCCCACCTATTTCTTTGTAAATATTTATAAATTACTTCTTTTAACTGATCCATCAGTCACTTTTCAAGTAACCACTGAATCAGTTGTTGGGATATCATAGACGGGAATGATATGTCCAATGTATCAACCAAATGGAGGCATTTCAGTAGTAGGGGCACACCAAATAGTGAACTAGTTATGCTGCTAGTAGACGCGTTGGATGCACACCAACAGTACACATTTTGGATGTCTTAACCTGACTGATCTATTTCAGGTGTTGTTGTCTCTATTAAGGAGCTGATGAGTTGGTGTGTTTGATTAGGAGGAGTTAAAAAATGTCTATTGTTGTACTTTCAAGATCATGGTTGAGGAAACACTGGTGTAAATATCACAATTGGTTAATGGGTTGTCCAATCCAGCTCGTTTACAGCCACCATCCTGCAGAGTCTGACAGAAACTTAAGGCTGGAATACAACTTTATGACTTTTGCCTAGAACAGGGGTGGCCAACGTCAGTCCTGGAGACCTGCATCCCTGCAGAGTTTTGCTCCAATCTTGATAAAAACACCTGCCTGTAGCTTTCTAGTAACCCTTAGACCTTGATTAGCTTTTTCAGGTGTGTTTGATTAGGGTTGGAGCTGAACTCTGTAGGATTGTGGCTCTCCAGGACCGACAATGGCCACCCCTGGCCTAGAATTTGTGACAAGGCAACTCCTATTAATCTTGCAAAAAGAAGCAGGGGTAGCTAACCCTGCTTTTGGAGAGTTGCCTTCAAATAGAATTTAGCTCCAACCCTTATCAAACACACCTGAACCAAGCAACCAAGATGTTCTGGATTACTTGAAAACTACGGGAAGGTGTGTTGGAGCAGATTTGGACCTGAACTCTGCAGGAAGGTGGCTCACCAGAAGCAGTGCTGGCATAGAGCCATTTACACTGCCTCTGAAACTACTTGGCTAGTCACTAGACTCGGATATGACTTGATGTCTTCCTACCTTGGGATACTGTCAGCGAAGGCATAATTTTTCATGTTTCCGACACAGCCAGTGAGTAAGCTATATAGAGAGAGGCCAAGAGAGAGGCTGCTTCAGCTGGTGTTGGTGGTCACCGTCCCAAACGTTATGCTCTATGTGTCCGGTATATGGCTCAGTGGAGTATCTGCTGGCTCCATAAGCCTGTACTTCTCCTCCAGAGATGGCTCAGTCCCCTGCAGGTGAATTAGTGGCTTGGTCTGGAATACGCCCAGACTTTCCTGGTTTCTCTTGTTGTATATGTTCACCCTGTGCTCCAGTTCCGGACTGGCCTTCACTGACCCTGCCGGACTGGGCAATTTAAGGTTGACTGGGTCCACCCTGCCTTTTTGCGCCAGGCAGGAGTCCTCAGACAGAGAATAGAGCAGCTCTTTGACCACCGCGCTGGGGTCGTGGACACCCGGTTGTGTGCCGAGGGTCAAAGGGCTGCAGTACGGAGGAGGGCAGTAGCGTTGGCCGCTGTAGTCGGAGGTGGAGGCCTCCCGTACGGTAGAACTGCAGTCAGTTGTGGAGCCCAGCGTGTGGCTGCTGACACTATGCTGCCGGGCAGTGAAGCTGCAGCTGGACCGGGACATGGTCGTGCTGGATGCTTCACTTACAGAGCTGCCCGTGCGCTCCTGGCCACTGCCTGGGCCGTCAGCACTGACGAGGGAAGGCGGCAACTGTTTGGGGTTGGTAGGAAGGTGGACATCGATGGCTGCTGTGGTTATGACACGTGCACCAGGGTCGGGCACCCCGATGTCTGTGTGTACAACAGATAGTATAACTTAGTGAATGAGTGCCATCTTAAATATTTAAGCATCAGTGCCAGTGGTCAACTGATACATTAGCCAGACCTTTTGGCATTTTGAGATCAAATGATTACCGTACTTGATTGAACAATGGGGTGTAATCTTCAGACTGCCTTGTCGATGTATATTATGGAATATTTGAGGGAATTTCAAGCAGGGTTATTATAGATAACTAAAACTGAAACTAAATTTAAAGCAAAAAATAATCTTAAAATTAAATGAAATAAAACATGTATTTCAGCTAGTTGCCAAGTCAACATTTCTCATATTAATTTAGTTTAACTTGATAACTAAAAGTGAAATAAAAAAACAATAAAGCTATATATACACATAAAAAAACAACTAAAAATTATGAACACAACAAAATTACTAAAACGAAAATGAAAACAGAAAATATTAAAATAAAAACTGATTTAAAATATTAATAAAAAATTATAATAGTATCTTAATCATACTAAAATAACACTGATTTCACGTAAATATTGCACAAATGTTTAATTAAATTTTTTTACTTCTCATTTGCCTATTTTTTTTTTAATTATATACTTGCATACTTCACTATGCACATATATTACATATACTGTACATACCAACATTTTATGTCCCATGATCCACCTTGCTATCTAAATATTGGCATCAGCCGATGAAAAACTTGTATCAGTCAACTAATATTTTGGATGTATGTATCCAATGCATGTAAGCAATTGTTTGCAGTGTATCTAAAGGATACATTTGGCAATAAATATGCAAATATTATAAGCATAGCTCAATCTAAATAAATAAATAAGCAAAAAAAAAAAAAAAAAGAACTTACCGCTACTTGGCTCACTGTAATACTGACTGATGTAGTTATTCATATCATCCTGAACCACACTCTCTGAAGAAAACAAAACAAATGAATGTCAATCACAACATTGCGATTTAACGACCCAAAACCAAAAAACATAGAAACACAATTTTTTTCCCTTTAAAAATAAATACATTTGAAATGTAAAAGGTTTTCTGATCATTTTTCTCATTTCACTGCTTTATAACAGGAGAACGTTTATGAATCACTATGTAGTGAAGTGTGCTACAGTGTAAGCAATGCATTAACGTTCTGATTTTGGCCACCCTTATCTGCTGCTTGGCCTCCTGACCCAAAAAGAGGCTG